TTTATCTTAGATTGATAGGTAAAATATCCAGTGGAACCATCTTTAACTGGAATTATATCATGTAACCAACTCCAACTAGATGAAAAAAATGCTTGTATTATAGTGACAATAACAACTACATCCTTAGTCCCTTTAAGTAGATACACTTGTTCTCCACCAACTTTCCTCTCATTGGTGCTCCTATAATAAATTTATTTTTTCCCCAATATTTCATTCATCTGTCTAGGAAAGCATTAAGATCATATTTCGAAAAACTAAAAGATTATTGCAAGCTATGAGAATATGTAATTTTTTTATTGATTTTAACATATTATATTCAAAAGTTCTTGTATTATAGTCTATAGAGCATATTATTAAAAATATGCACTCTCAATGTTCTATCTGGGGATTATAGCACTAGAAACAAATGTGTAAGTTGACTGGTTAACAGACAACCAGAAGCAAGGAAATAATGGCCCCTATTTTTATCAATTCCCTGAAGGTAGAGGAAAAATTTTGATGGGATAAGCAGAGGGAAGAAGATAACAAGATGGTTCATAAGTCTTACACCCCGAGGAGGAAAGGCCAAACTTCATCTCTGATGCTTGGATCGATTCCCTGATCACAGGTAAAATGAATACATCAATGGAACTTCCTCGAACTAATCTCTAGACAGTTGAAACAGATCCTATAACATAAACAAATGAGATAAATGAAACCAGTACTCACTCCACTACGAACTTTCTTTAATAATTTCACTCCACCACCACGGAGCCTTCCATCTGGTGAGAAGAAATCGTTCCATTGCTGCCTAGTCAATAGATGTTTTCGTTTCCGTCGAGACCATGGTGATTTAAGACTACCTCTGAAAAAAAAAAAAAAAAAAGTCATTGATGTTAGCTAGCATGCTAAAGCAGAAAAGGTGAAGGACATTGGCAGAAAGAAAATCATGATGTTAATATTTACTAATATCAAGGACAATGACAATCATAAAGGGCATTAAAAAGTTAGAACCATTAGTGAATATGTAACTTCTGATCAAGAACACTATCTCCAACTTCATATTAAGATAAATGCTAGGATATAAATCGAGAATCAATTGCTGGAATCAGTTTTTAAGTCAGAATCCTATACGATCAGTTAATACCTATCACATGAAACTAGTAAGATGATTCTCAATGTCAATCACTCTGCAGAACATCAGAACATAGTGCTCAATGACATGACTAAGATCCACATACCCCAGCAAGACCGACAAGGATTAGCTAGTTATCACTTGAGATTAAGGTAGGAATTATTTCGGCAGACATCAAATTGATCTCTGGTTAGTTTTTCTTCATCTACGGAACAAACAATCACTTAGAATATACTGAAGTAGAGCAACTACAGACCTTCGCTAACAGCTAAAAATAGTGAATCAGCTACAGCATTCATGGACATACATAGCATGTAGACGCATGAACAGTAGGGAACAAGACACCAGGTTTGCTTCTACATATCAACAATCTTCTTATTTCGTGTGACGGTTTAAGCAACTGGTAACATACAAAACTCCAACCCTCTGTGTCTCTCACTTGTCCATATTGGAGAAGGGAAAACCGTTCTATTTAACAAGAAGTCGAGGAAATTTTAAAAGGTAAATCGAAGACGAGGAACGAGAAAGAATCAAGAAAAAAGAGAAAGAGGTGAAGAGGACTAACCGATCGGGAACAGGTGAGGGTGCGACAACGAGAAGAGATCTCAAATGGGTCCATGACGACTTAGGCGACGACGACGACGAAGATGGTGAGGACGAAGAAGCCGATGAAGTATGGGATCGTCGGAGAGCTTTCATCTATGAACACTTGTATTCGTTCGTCTAAAATGTTCGATCTTTCTTATTCCTTTTTATCCTATTTCTCAAACGGGGTTTGGGGAAGCAACGGAAAGGGGGTTCCCTTCTTTCCCTTTTTTTGTTTTTGTTTTTGTCTTTCTTTCTTTCTTTCTTTCTTTCTTTTGTTTACCTACGGGAGGAGATGACGAGGGTGGCGGCCAAGGCGAGACCGGCCATGGCCGTCACGCCCAGCGCTACACCGGCATGCCAACGCCCGCTGCCGCCGCCGGTGCCCAAGATCCAAGCGCCGCCACCGCTGACGCCCGCCGCCGGCCTGAGGAAGCTTCCGATCCCGTGCTCCACCCAGCCCCAATCCCACATCGAGTCGCCCGCCTCCCGGATCCGTTTCCAACCATCACAAGCGACCGCCTCCGACGGCCCTAATCACCAGCCCTAACTATTCCCTCCTATCCCTCTCTGTTTTAGATGTGTGTTCGGTAGAAACCGGGGAAAGTGACTGTTCGCACCCAGCAAGATAAAAGGGTAAAGGGTTTTGCCACACATCCCCGCAAGGCCACACAACTAAGAGCATGGAGAAGAGGATTGAGACTCCGAGGACAGTACACGGTACCTTTAAAATGATATTTTTGACCCGCTGAAAACTTTATTAGTGCCTATTCAATAAGATGCATGCGACGTATTCACTCATTGAAGGACGTTCTTTAAGCTTTATTAACATGTAAAATAATAAATTATAATATATATTATTTGAACATATTTTGATTGTTCGATTTGAGAATTAAACGAGTGAAAATGTTATTGAGTCTTATATCCAAATCATGTAAAATTATATTGAGGCACTCCCTGTGAATATCTTTCCAAAACTTTATATATATATATATATATATATATTAGGAATTAAATTTGAAAAAAAGGATTCAAATAATTGACAAAAATGATAAGGGTTTTTTTTAGCTATTTAGATTCTTTCAAATTTATCTACAATCATTATTGGTAGAGGTTAACCTTGATTTATCGGATGGATGCAAATAATTGAAATATTTAAAAATATATAAAATATATAAAATATATAAATATTTAAAGGAATACATACATACACTATGTTAGAAGAATTTAAGGCTATTTCTTTAGTCTTTAGTCATAGGATACCAATTATACATCTTTTACTAGAAATGTAATGACTTTATCTGCACTTGAGTTGGATCCTTAGCTCTTTTTAGTTAGCCTTCATAACAAACGGAATAAAAATAGGTAACTGGTTCCATGAGATTGAGCGATTTAATTTTTCGTTTACCATTTACGGATCAAGATAGAGAGAGCTTGCATTGAAAGGAGTAGTATCATGTAATTCAAATTATATAATCTTCTTTTTTTCCTTTTGTGATATAGGCTGCTTTGATTGCATTTGGTAGTTGTTGTTTTTGTATCTTTAAAGTTGATACATTGAAAATGATATTATGTAATTTTATCTTCTTCTTTTTTTTAATTGCTTTAGTTAATAATTTTTTTAGAGTTTGCCGATCATAATAGAGTTAATGCACTAAAATGGATATTATGTATTTTTATCTTTTTCTAAACCTATACTGTGTTTTGATGTGGCATGTTAATTTCTATATTATTTCATCCTCTAAAGATGTTGGTGGAGTTGATACATTGGAAGGGGTATTATGTCATTTAATCTTTAAATTCTATTTTAGATTAGACCACTTAGATTGATTGCAAGTGGCATGTTTTTTTTTACATTATTTTGTTCTTTAAGTATCATGGTAGAGTTGATACATTGAAAGGAGCACTGTGTATTTTTATTTTGAACTTCCTCACTACTTTGAATGCATGTGAGACAAGGTTAGCTAACTCGAGCTCATCCTCTTGTCCTCCGTCATCTTTTTCTTTGTCAACGCAACAAGGGGCTTGATTTGGATGGTACTGTATATCTTTGTTATGTCATGCAAATGATTGCCTTAATTAATACTGGATGTGCAGTTCAAAGGAGTTGAACAACACTGATAAATTCATATTTATTTTGCTTGATTGATTTGGTGAGGCTTGTGGATAATGAATCGGAAGGTGTGACTTTGGTTGTCCAAACCATTATTGGATTGGATTTGACACAATCTGATCGGTCTCCATGTCATCATCATCTTAAACTTAAGCATGTTTAGTACTATTAGCTCTATCTTAACTTCTAATCATAGTGTATATATATATATATATATATATATATATATATATATATATATATATATAGAGAGAGAGAGAGAGAGAGAGGGATATATTTTGACCAAGAAGGGATCAACGAGCAATCAATTGGCTAATGTCTCACACCACACCACTTAATTGATGATATGATCATCTTATCCGATAGCCTGTTCCTAGCCACGAGTCAAAGAGATTCGAATGACTAGTCAAACAAGACGATCAATAATAAAATTGGATAACGGACAATTCAAAGGAAAGGAATTTACTAGCAGCAGTTTGGCTAATATTTTCCTCCGCACATCACTACCATGGTAGTGGGATCTATTTGCATCACTCATTGTAGTCTCTGCAACACGCAAACACAGTTCAAAAACTAACTAAGAAAGATATTTTATTTTATGATTGTGACATAATATTTCAAAGAAATTACTTTATTTTTTAAAATATATTTAACTTGTTCCTTTAGAGTTTGATTCATTTGCTTTTGTCACTGAACTTGTAATTGTTTTAGGGTCGTCCCCTATTCGAATTAAGATCCCAACCCTCAGACTTTTGCAGGACGAACAGAAATATATGTTTGTAATTAGACGGGGATGTCCTTTTTGTGTATATCTTTTGATCTAGAATATTAGCTGCGGGAAAAAAGTCTAATATAATTTGCGATAGTGGCTCTCTTGTACAAGCTACTAAACCTTTTTGCCAATGGCCTCAAGCGCTATCTATGCTTATAAATCATTGTACGGGATATATTTCATCCGGTTGACTTGAATAATTAAGCAGGAGTACGCATACAAATCCTGATATCCTAAAGTTCGTAGGCTATCTTGTGGTGCTGATGTCGTATTGAGAATGAAGACGTTGACGCACAATCTGAGATGTTGGAAGAAGGCTCTAATGATTCGGTCATTACAGAAGATTATACATATACAGACTGTTAGGCAAGATGATTGGATGATGATGATGATGATGATGATGATGACATGGTGCATAAGTTAATAGGTAGTGCGCTGGAATTAATGGAAATTACGTGATTTTAACCACACATTTGACTTCTGTTGATAAAGAAATTGGAAATTTTTTGTAATAAAGATTCAACCCAAAAGAGTAATTGCTGCTTTGCCTTCCTTTTTTTTTTTATTGTTCTGATAATGATCAAGAAACCACCTTCTTTGGATGAGTCTGAGCTTGATTTGCCACCGGTAAATTGGGTCGGTTGAGATAGCACCAACAAACGAGCCGAGCCGAGACGAATCCTTCCACTGTGCTTGCTGGATTCTTTGAACGACGTGGTATTTATCCCCTCCAGGAACGGAAGAAGGCGAAGGCGGAGGCGGCGGCGGCAGCAGCAGCAGCAGCAGCAGCGTGATGGAGTTCTGCCCGACGTGCGGGATGCTGCTGCAGATCGAGCGGGCGAGCCAAGGGCGGAGGTGCCGCCTCTTCTGCCCCACCTGCCCCTACGTCTGCACCATCTCCAACAAGGCTGATCACCTCACTACACTCCTTCCCTTCTCTTCTATTTCCTGTCTCCCTGTTCACCCTTGGCGTTGGTCTTTTGTCTGCTCAGATGGTCATCAAGCATAATTTGGTGAAGAAAGAATTGGAGCATATCTTTAGCGGCGCCGACAGCATGAAGTTTGCTCCAAGAACTGCAGGTGAGTAGTTGGCTACTTGGTGAATTGCCATACTCTCTTCTTCTTGCTTACGGGGTAAAGAAACATTTGCGAACCTGAGTATTGGGAGATCAAAAAGCCTAACAAAAATTCCATGAGATGCAAGTCTCCTAAGCCATCACACCCTACTCCTTTACAAGGAGTAACAGGATCAAGACGCTGTCACCTAAAAGATTTGTGTTGGTCTCGGTTTTATTCATCAGTCTTGCATTCTCTTGCACACTCTTCCAGTAACCAACCGTTCCCTAAGTTTTCTTGAACCCCTTGTTATCATGAGATGATCCGTAAGCTTTCGTTATCATCCACTCCGTTTCCAAGTAAACAAACGGCTCGACATAGTAAACCCGGTTCATCATGTTCCCGAGGTTAATTGGTGAATCGTTCGTTACTAGTGAAGCTACGCTTCTAAAATTGTTGTATCATTCATTACGTGCAAACCCAATTATGTGGCTACAGCCCATATATAGTACTTTGGTTTCTATATGATCTATTAGCTCAGCTTAATACCTACGCCTTGGTCTCAATTCGTAGTGTAGTCCTAATTTGAAAATGACAAATTTGAGTAAAATACTCATAGCCTCACAAATTCCTCACACCGACGCCTATACTTTTTGCAGAAATTTCGAGATAAAGAAAATTAGAGCACATTATGAGAAATTAATTGATCAGTTGGATATTTGGGAGCAACCCAAAAAATTATTAATTAAATTATAATAGTTATCAGATCACAAGGCCTTTCCAAATGTAATCTTGAGAAAATTTAATGCCACTCAATACTAGATTCTTTTACTGCTTCGTATTTTTGTTGCAGCCTTCACCATTATTTGATGCGCGCATTAGATTATCATGATCAAGTAGGTAAAACTCCGTAATGCTTCTCTTAGTAAGGATATATTATATCTGTATGGATGTACCTACCTGCAGCAACCTGCCCAAGGTGTCACCACGGAGAGGCATTCTTCAGGCAAATGCAGATTCGTTCAGCTGACGAACCCATGACAACATTCTACCGATGCTGCAACGAGAGATGCAATTACGAATGGCGAGACGACTGATCTCATATCTGATGCGCATGGGAGTGGAACTGTTTTCGCTTTCTCAATCAAGCATCGGCGTACTCTTGTCCTATTTCTATTGCTTTCTGCATGCAGACCGGAAAGGAGAGGTAACCGATGGCAACATAAGATTTTGAACAGTCATAATGTATGTGCTTAACTATGCACATAATCTCGTTTCCTTTTTTTTTTGTTTTTTCGCTGTCAAATGTACGATAGCGAAGATTTAAGTGCGAAGTTTTCTATGCACACAACACGTTGCTGCTCGTTATGTCAAGATTGCAGCAGCAGACAGTCGATGAGAAGGAGAAAACAACATATGAAGAGGAGGGAGGACGGCAAGTCCGACAAGTTCACGTGTCCATCCGGAGCAATTGTGCGTTAGAATTAAAGCATGAAGAGGAAGGAGGACAGGAGTCCTCCACACGAGTACGTCCTTTTTTCCTAGAGAGTAATGAAGTGATTGATGCAGCTGCAATCTAAAGTGATCCAGCAGCTCTAAACTACCCCCATATATTACTGATAATCTAATTAATAACTCCCTTTCCCTTGGATGAGGAATCTACATTTGTTTGTTTTTTATGATAATGCATGTCATTGAAAGAAGAAACCCAAAACACTCACAAACAAACAAAAACACCTAGTCAAATTAGAATGGACTCCGTAGGAAGAATTAATGGAGTTTGTGATAAGAACAGACATGACATTGGACTGGGCGTGAGAATGTCCCATAACCAGGACAAGCTAGCATTGGAGGTGATATGGACAGGGCAGCACATCTCACTTGATGCCTGTCCTGTTGGCTTATTAATGCAGTACCACAGCTACCAAGAGCCTTGGGTAAGAAGGAAGATGATCCTAGAGCAGCATGTGGAAGGGTAAAAAATCTCCCTTTTACAAGCGAGAGATTATGTAAGCGGGTAAGTTAGTTAATAAGAAATGATATAAAAAATATGTAATTGATGTCTGATAATTTCATCGCTAATAAAATAAAAATTGATGATAATATATTTTAAATAAGAGTCTAACATTAAGTTAGAATATAGATCGGTGAAATCGATATTATCATAATATATTATAAGAGTGGACTGATGGGTAATATATACAGTAGATTGGTGACCCAATTGAATTCAATAGTGGATCTTGTAATTATGTTCTATTTCTTATAATTTCAACCGGTCAAGTTTGTTCTAAGAATACAATATAAGCTGATATAAATGTTTTATTATCAATATTGTCTACTCAATTAATATCGACGAAGGCATGAAAGTGAAGGAATGTGTATTCATAAAGAAAATGTTTATGATTGAGAGTCCCTTTAATATATTGTAATATATATTTTAGTATTGACTAATGTATAGTAAAGGATTGATATATAAACTCTAATAATTTATTGATTATAAATAGTCGAAAATAAAACGGGGGTACTTCGAGTTATGCAAAAGAGTTCGATCAAGGAACGAAATAAGTGGTACACCATACTAAACCTATTCTATTCATAAGAGTAGGCGCATAAAATGATGGAAAAGATAACTCGAACATCATATTTATAGTTTTATCTATTACATTGTCCCCTACTTATTCATTTGATATCCTCATCCAGACTTTTTATGAATATTATATCTTTTTAATTTTGTTTAATCTTCAATTTTCAGTTCTAATTGTAGTGCACCTTATCATATTATTTTAACTTGTTAATAACTTTGATGTGGGAGGTTATGTTGATCTTGGTTTTTATGAATCCTGAAGATAAAAGAAAAAGACTGTGACTTTGGTGTTTAGTAGCAGCTTGGTCATCGAGAAGTGGCTAATTGCAAATAGGTTCAGAATGAGAGATGGGTAGTTTTGGAGAGAACAATAATTAGTTGGGAGTGCGAGAGAGAGAGAGAGTGGATACGCACCCAAATAGCTGGCTGCGAATGTCAAATCGATGACGTCCTCAGGGACGTGATCATGGGAGAACCTTCCATTCTCCCTACTCGGAGTTATTCAAAAAAAGTCAACAACAAACATTGATAGGGTAGAGTTCCTTTGATAATAATAATAAATTTATTATCACAGTAAAATTTAATTGGTTTATCTTATTTTTCTTAAAGATTTATAAAAATTCTTCAAAGCCAAATCTTAAAACTTTAAAAATGATGTAACACCAACTGTTCGTCAACTTTAGGTTCGATACCAACCTTTATGAATCCTGTTACATTTTTTTATCTTTTAGATATATTCTTCATTGATAAAAAAATGATCAAAACATTAGGAAAACTCAAAACCATTCAAATTCTTAAGTTTATTATCTAAAACTTTATAAAACCAAAAATATTCTATTTCGTAACTATCCTCAATGGTAAAAACTTCAAAAAAAACAAAAAACAAAAAACCAAGATTCAACATTCTAGTTAAAAGTCTATCCCTAACTCCAATTAATTTTATGACTCTTGTAAGATTGGTTATTTTATATTTATGATGGAATCGTTCGTACAGTCTTTCGCCCTAAAAGGCTAAGAGGGTGGGATCGTTGGTACGATCCATATTTCCTTTTTCTATTTTTTATTTTTAAACTTTAATCTTATTTTCAATATATTATTCCTTACCTTTCTACTGAGTTGCTCGGTGGAGCAACGCGTCGTTCCGCTCGCACATCGTTCAGATCGCGTTATCCGGCGAGCCGTTGCAACACTCTTGAAGTAGTTAGAAAAATCGCCCTTCCGTGTTGATAAAGGAGGTTGGGCAACTAAGAAAAATAACCCTTCCGTGCTTAGAAAGGAGGTTGGGCAACTAACAGGTTGGTGATCCGATCCTACGTGTCGACGTCCGCAAATCATCAGTCTGAGGCGCCCGTGGTGGAACCCACCATGGCAGGCCGTCGTCGTGAAATGTTGTGAGATTGGAAATTATGGCAGTGCTTTTTCAGAAATAGCTAAAAGAGTACTCGCTAAAGAGAGAGAAAGAGCGCTAAACAGTCGTTGAACGGTCTTGCCATCTACCCCCAACTACCACACTTACACACACCGACAAGTAAATGCCTGCACCTATACTTATCCCTTGCTTCACACCCCCTCTTCGTTCTATGTTTTCCCTTGACGCCTCTTGGAGGAGTTCATAGCGACCGCAAAAGCGACAATGGCGACAGCCAGCGAGCTCGATAACAAGCATCGCAGCTCCCTTGGTAAGTAGGACTCTTCCTCCTCCTCCTCATTACTCTCTCTCTCTCTCGCTTCCACCAGCATGATGCACCATCTGTTATGCTACCAACTCTGCTTCTGATGTGGATTGCAGGGGGAGCCGCAAAACTGGCGATGGCGGCGGCATTTTTGGTCGGGCTGGCGAGCTGGTACTACGCGGTGGAAATACGGCCGCCGCCGCCCACTCCGTGCGGGTCGGAGGACGGGCCACCGGTGACCGCGCCGAGGATTCGGCTGAGGGATGGACGGTTCCTGGCCTACTCCGAGACGGGGGTGCCCAGGGAAAGGGCTGCGTACAAGATCGTCCACTGCCATGGATTCGGCAGCTCCAGGCTCGACAGCCCCCGGGCCTCCCCGGTGAGCGAAAAACCCTAACTCTTCGTCGGTCTCCCCCTTTCATGCCGATAGGTTGAGTGTATTGGCAGCGATGGATGGGGATCGGAAGGGGAGGCGATCCAAGGGTCCCTCTCACTGAGCCACCAAAAACAGGGTCGGACGCCTTCCGATTGGTCCGGCTACCAAACCGGCCAAACCCCCTCCCCTCCCCTCCCCGCCGCCCGCCCTCCGCCCTCCTTAATGGGAATGTGTCCTGTGTCCTCACCTAGTTGGTGGCTCGGGCCAAAATCATACTGCACCTCGTGCCAAGCTAAACACTGACACCCATTTCTCACCACCATGACTCCTCGGTCTGAGGTCTCTTTTGTGGGCCTACAGTTGCCATTACCTGTTCCTTAGCACCTGTGTCGTAGCTGCTGTCTGCACCTTCACCAAAACAAAAGTAATAGATGATATTTAAACCACTACTCAGAACATTTCAAATGAATTTTATTGTTACAACCATCTTTGTAGTTTTGTGTTATTGATGAGTTAGTGACCTTAGAATTTTTTGTGTTGTCTTTTAGTCGACAATTAGGGAAACAGAATGATAATTATGCCTGTGAAGTCTAAAATTTGCTATATTTATGTGTAGTTATCCCTGTTCAGCAATTAAAGGTGCTTCTATAACAAATATCAACTTTACAAGAGAACATTGAAGGGATCGATATTAAAAAAAAATAAAGACATGGGAGTGAGGAACAATTACATTTCTTTAGTATAAATGTCAGTGAGCAAAATAATGAAATCATCCTGTGCAACTTCTGTGAGGTTCTAGTAACTTTCATGTTTAAAAGGTGTGGAAGTTGTGTTCTTGCTGAGTCATATATGGTTGCAACATTAGATTAGTAAGGTTGGCGAACTCACTATTTGATTTAGTTGAACACCGAGAGAGATAGTTCTTTCTTTGGTCCTCGAGTACCCATACATGACATTTAGACTGTTGAACTTGGTTGTACATGGGTCAATAATCATAAAGTTATTTAGTTTTTCTTATATTTATTGGAATAAATTTTTTTATGTACGCTAAAGTTAAAAAGTAATGTATATTAGCAGTAAGTCTTTAAATATTCTATGCAATCACGACATGTAATTGTTAATATTTGAACTTGCATTGTCAAGCTTGCACTTAGCAAATGTCAGAAAATTGATGGTTCACTGGACCTGACAAGTAGGATAAATTCCTTACAGTTCCTCATGATGAAATAAATAGTCGTTAGTAAAACCTTTATGTGACTATTAAGTTTCAGGTTTGAATACATCGTGTGGAAGTAGATTTTGCTCAGCCCTGCATAGTTGCAAACATTGAAGTACTAAGGTTGCTGTCCAAATTTTGATTGAATTGCTATAGAAGAGTTGAACACCACCTATACCTGAAGCTGACTTTTGAACTTGATTGCATTTGGATCATGAGTTAATAAGTTAGATTTTGGTTTCGAGTTCAAATGTATATTTGAATCCAACTGTGGCCCTTGTCAGATGGTCTCCTTCTAGATCACTTCTTGTAAGATCGAATTCCTATCAAACTAAGTCAGGGGATTTTTCGACTATAGCCCTTCTGACGATCGTGTCACTTGGATCGATCGTCAATTGCTTGTGGGCTCGATCTCCAATGGTGGCATGTTGGCATGCTGTCACATGTCGGCACATGGTGGCCATTCGTTCGTCACATCATTATCACTTATCAGTAACCGTCAATGGGTCGTAGACTTATCGAGTTAGAGGCATGCTTTACAATATTATTAATAATGATGGTAGCAATGGATGTGTTGTCGGTTAGTAGGTGTGATCTATCTCGGTCTCATAAGAAGAATGTCGTCGAAAGACTTGTTCGATTCATAGATCATACACTTTGGAATTAAAAAATTGAGACCATCATCAATGGCGGGAGGAGGCGTCATCATGGAAGTGATCGCCAGCAACATCATCGATCCACTACTACCTAGTAGGGTGTTGTACGCACGCAGCCTCTCTCACGTTGACGATAAACTCAAGAGCTTCCGGTCCTACCTCAGGTGGATGTGCATCAACCAGTTCGATGCTAAGTATGCAATAGTCTCGTGATCGCTCTTCCTCCTCCTAGGCATCTTCGTCTTCACTACCTCCCACTTCGTCCTCTCCTGTGCCCCCACCTATCTTACTTATGATGTGGTGCTATAGCTCTCCCTCACCTCCTCCTTCGACCTCTCCTACCTTTGCTTTTTTACTTTCGTCCGTCGTTACATCCTTCGTCGTTTCCTTTTCCTCGACAAGATAGATTTTTTTAAAAACTTAAATTACACATGTCATTATATTGATGATTTATTGTGAGTCAACATGCCACATAAGTAGACTCTAATGTTTGTCAACTCAAACTTGACGGGAGGGGCTTATATGCTACGTTTTTTAAAATATAAGAGTTATTTTAGATACGAACAAAATCATAAGGGCTTAAGTGATCCATGATCAAAACCATAGGGGCTAAAATATATCTTTATTTTTAACTTAAATTATATATGTCATTATATTAATAAAATATTAATAGTTTATTATGAGTCAGCATGTCACGTAAGCAGATTTTAACGTATGTTAACTCAGATTTGACGGGATGAGTTTATATGCTATGTTTTAAAAAATATATAAGTTATTTTAGACATGAGTAAACTATGAGAGCTTAAGTGGTCCATGACCAAAATCACAAGGGCTAAAATGAACCTTAACCCTACTATAAATAACTCCCTAAACCATTCACACCCTTCACGCCTTCATATGCCCTCAAAGCATTTGGACTCTTGTATTTATAGACTTTAAAACTTTCAGCTTTTTTATTTAATAAGGTTCAAATGTCTTCTACATCAAGCTCCTTATCAATGGTCGACCGTGAGTTGAGCGGTTCTCCAGTTTCATCGCCATTTTCGGCATCAGTTTTCGCAACTCCCCCCCTCCAATGAAAGGGTCGGAGTCGTTGCTACGAGGGGGAATACCTTTTCCGAGGTGAGCCCATCAAGTAGTTGAGCCTCGCAAACTGCGTTGAGGTTGTATGACTTTGACTCTTAGATATCTAAGGTTGACCGAATACACATCAAAGAGGCTTTTAACATTCCTACCAAGATTGAGCTAATGGATCCTCGTCTTGGTGATCGACCATACAAGTCGCACCATTTCTTTTGCACCTCCTTTTACACCTTGGAGGTGGGGCTCAAAATTTTTTTTTCCATCCTTTTTATGTTGGAGTCTTGAACCTTTGGATGTTTTCCCCTACTCAAGTGGCACCAAACGCTTAGCAATATTTAGCCACCTTCGTTGGGGAGTGTCGAAGGCTTGATATCTCCCCAACTTTGACTTTGTTGTAGGCTTGTTTTATTGTGACCCTTAGGGATTTGACTTATTACCTTTCCGCCAATCCTGATTGTAGGGTTAGAATATATATATATATATATATATATATATATATATGTATATATATGTATATATGTATATATATATATGTATATATATGTATATATGTATATATATATATATATGTATATATATATGTTTCTTCACGGAGGGGGTGGCCTGTCAACTTAGCATGGTTCATAGGGAAGTTTTGGAACTTGATTCTGAGGTTGAGTGGGTTGGAGCAAGAGTGACATCGCCAGTTATTTGTTGCCCTATTCGACGAGTTCACTACCATCTTCCAAATGAGCAAGGCTTGGCTCAAGGAAGTCGGAATCAATTTATGAGACTTTCATCTTGTAAGACTCCTAAGTGATGAAAGAAAGAAGAACTCATCTTCTTTTTTGATTACCTTCCTCGCATATGTAAAAGACTGAATGCATTCGATTTCTAATAAGGATTACTAATCTGAAATTTTTTGTGGAATCTTTTTTCATTAGTGGTTGTGAATGACTAACTTTATCAATCTTTTTGATCTTGGTTCTGTACAAATTAGATTTCTAAAAAAGATTACTAATTGTTATTTGAGCAAGTTAAATTTTGATTGTCTGAGTTGGAATGTATATTCGGATCCAATTGTGGTCCTTTTTAGATGGTCTCCTTCCACATATCACTTCTTGCAAGATCAAATTCTTATCAAACTAAGTTAGGGGCATTTTTTACTATAGCCCTTATCAAATTAGTATTTGAACTTAAAGCGATTAGACTAGTCAAACTAAGCAAGAGCTGAATGTCTCTCTCTCTCTCTAGGAACACGCTTGGAGTCATTTTATAGGCAATTATAGGCAACTCTGGTGACAGTTATCCCTATGACCATCGACGAAAAATGAGAAATAGTTAATGACCCCAGCGGAGTAGTGGTATTGTGTTCGGCATGTTCGATACCCATAACGTCTGAACATGCTGACTGTCAGTTGCTCGGTTGGTTGCACACAGCATCTGATCTGACCCTCACTTACCTATGGGTCTAAACACACGAGTGTCACTCGGATCAATCACCATGTGCTTGTGGGCCTGAGCTCCTATGGTGGCATGCTGGCGTCTGACGTGGCCATCCGCACTGGCGTCATATGACAGCACATGGTGCCGGTCATGTCATTCTCACATCATAACACTATTCGAGAAGAAACATTCTAATGTATATTAGCATGTTAGCTATATTACCTACATGTCAAACAGGTCATTCAGTAGCTTTACAATTGCATCCGTTTGGTTGCTAGGAAGCATAAATTATTTTATGGTTGCATAAAGGTATGACAGGTTTGCTTTTTTTCTCTCTCTCTCTCACACACACATAAATTTAGGGTCTTACTATATGCTACTTGAGAAGGTTCGTAAGTTATCAACTCTTAAAATAATTCTTTGTGATGACAGGAATTGATAGAGGAGTTAGGTATATATATAGTAGGTTTCGACAGAGCTGGATATGGTGAAAGTGATCCCAATCCCAGTCGTTCACTGAGGAGCGAGGCGTCAGATATCGCGGAGCTGGCAGATGCTTTGGAGCTGGGCCCCAGGTTTTACCTGATTGGGTTCTCCTTGGGTGGCCATGCTGTCTGGGCGTCCATTAAGTACATTCCAGATAGGTAACTGTGGTTTGCTAGACTACAATGTCACGGTACATAGTTCAGGGTGTGTTTGCCGCTGCCGCAGCCTTACAAATAGATGTCATTTGGGTTTTACCTCCTGCAACATCAGACTGAGCAAGCACCTGAGAATGTTGCAATTCATTTCAGGATTGCTGGAGCTGCTATGATGGCACCAGTAATAAACTACAGATGGCCTGGGTTCCCGCGGAATCTATCAGAGGAGGCTTACAGAAAGCAACAGCCTGGAGATCAGTGGGCATTGCGAGTTGCATATTATGCCCCCTGGTTGCTGCATTGGTGGATGAAACAGTCGTGGTTGCCTTCCTCCACCGTTATCAAAGGCACAACCAATCTGCCCAACCGCTTGGATGCACAAGTTCGTGAGTACGCCATGAAGAATAGTGGAATGTTCGAAGAGGTTGGTGCTACCCCAGTGTCCTTTTTTTTATTTTTTATTTTGACCCATTTCAACTGTCCAAGGAGCTTTGTAGTATGACGCTGCAAGAACTAAAGAATGCAAGCATCACTGTGCTTGCAGAGGCGGAAACTTGCCACTCAGCAAGGCATGCTTGAGTCGTTTTACCGAGACATGATGGTGATGTTCGGGAAGTGGGAATTTGATCCGATGGATCTCTCGCAACCGCCCTTTCCAGTTCATCTATGGCATGGGGATGAAGACGGGCTCGTGCCGGTTACTCTACAGCGATACATCTGCAGCCGCCTCAGCTGGATCAACTACCATGAGCTAAAGGAAACAGGGCACTACTTGGGAGGTGTGCAGAGCTTGGTTGATGTTGTCCTCAAGACCTTGCTAGTGGTGTCGGTTTCAGCATGACCACGTATTTATCAGTTTGGAAAAAGAAGCACCCACAGGAAGCGGAATGCGTAATTCATACATGGGAGGGATAATAATTAGATCGCACATGCCCTATTTTAACAATGCATCCATTACTTATGCGAGATCACCCACCATATACACATTGTTCGAGAGAGAGAGAGAGAGAGATATATATATATATATATATATATGCTTGCATTGCGCTTTGACTATTGAATAATTAACGCCTGAACTTTGGTTGCATCCACTTGTGGATAAATTTATGGTTCAAATTTCTTAGACGGAGAGCATATCCGGAG